TGGCCCACCAGTCTATAAACATAGGTTAAATGGGGTCGTAACACATATGGGAGAATGAAACAAAAGTACTACGCCTGGTACGACTCTTGATTTCATTCGGAAAAACTTTATCGTTAAATTATCATATGGACATTACCATGGGATACTGAAAAGTTGTTAAAGTAACTCAGTGAACACAAAGGCCGTCCAAAATTAATGCTACTTGACTCCGATAATCCCGACATGAAAAATATAAAGAATATTAAAATTTGTGAGCGGCCACACTATACTTACCTACGGCTCCGAGAGTCGTCATAAGACCCGTTAGAATAAGCGCTGGTCGTATTTTAACTAATTTAAAATAAAGTCCAAAAAGTAGTAGCGGTCCATAAAAAAGCATCAGTTCGGCTCGAAACACGAGAATAGCGAGGCCCGAGAGGAAGATAAAGAGCAAATCAGCGCCTTGTAGAAGCGCAGCCAGAGAGCATAAGACTACAAAGTGGCAAAACAATATTTGAGAATCTGAAAAAGGTCACTAGTACATAAGTAATATATGCATAGTATTAAGGACTCAGAAACGGTAAAACTATGGCTGATTATGAATATTAAAGTACTAACTCGTTCGGTCATCTGTCTTAAGGCCAGACTTGGTAAAATTGGCAGGATATAATAGTTAACTCGAAATGTAGACAGTTGTAACTTTCTTAACTAGGCTGCATATACATTGCTTAGGGTTGGAGGGGCCTGAATGAGCCAGAAGTGTGGGAAACTACTTTCAAAAATGTCGCTGCATCAAAATAAAATATATAAACTGCCCTACTGAATGCAAAAATTCAATCTGCTGAGGACTCCGCCTTCTTTATCACAGTTTTTGGCACAATTTATCTTAGTGGCGAAAACAAGTTTTCGGTGCAAGTAACAATTTAAGAAGGATTTTTTTATTTACAAAAGATAAAAAATAAATGCATGAGCTGAATAAAAAACGAACCCAGAACGAATGCAAATGTGTTTGGAAGACATCGGGAGGCATAGAACATGATATGAAACTGGCTAGCCGTTATAAGTAGAAAGCGATTCCCGATTGAGCTGCCAAAGCGTTGTCGCGCAGCGTTTGCAAGTGCGCTTAACCCCGTCAGGAAAAATAGCCCGAGACACGTTCGCGCTAGGAGAGCAAATCATGATTAACGATTTACTTACCAATGGGGTAGATGCAGGTTTTTGAAAGAAATGGGGACAACGGAAGTGCAAACACAGAAAGTACCAAGGGGCCCAGGAACGTCCTCGGAACAGCCCCGGGAAAGACTAGGTGGTCGTACTACAAGCTTAGAGTTTATTAAAGATAAATTTACCTGAGAGACATTACCACCGTAATAAATTATGTCATGAATAGCCTGTGTGTTGAAAGACTCCTCAACTTTATTGTGCGGGCAGATGATCACGTATAAACATATGATGAGAAAGCTGAGGGTCACGAGCAAGTTGTGTGTTGAAAGGCTACGTTTTAGTAGCATTGTCTCTCCAGAAGGAGACACAACTATTCAAAAAACGAATTCAAACAGTACAGTTCGTATAGTGTCACTTAAACGCATACATTTTCCTATAAAGGAATTACTTCGTAGGAATTGGAAAATGAATCCTTATAATAAGATGTGGCACCTGGGACCACATCCATTACTCCATAAAATTATATTGGATAATAAAACATGCGTAAAAATATAATAAAACTCAGCTAAACTCAGTTTAGCTGGAGGTGGTTATTTTATCGAAGTAATAGAGAAGTCGGCTACATCAAACCGAGGTAAGAGGACTTGTGGATTTTGAATGCAATTACGTCAAATGACACACTACTTGGACAGTGTACTCCCATAAGTTTGATCCCTGCTTGCACTGATACTTGTCAAGGCTTGCAAGTTTATAATTGTGACCGAGAAAGCTGCATGGTTACTACAAAGGCCTGCATACTCCAAGACCTCCAAAAGAGATGATGGACATGCAATTGCGAATTTCATGGAACTTAAAGCATTCATTCTTTCAACAAAAGTCTTGGAAACGAGCTCCATATAACCAAATATCTGTAAGTTCATATCGACGGACCGTCTGAGTACTGGGGGAGCCCAAATGGTAAATAAGGAAGGTCGTTGAATCCATGTTTTTCGTTGGCAGCGACCCAGTGGGTATGGTCTATCCAGCATAATGGCAAGGCTCGAGAATGCGACTCTCAGTATGCCCTGAATACGTTACTATTTGGAGTTGACGATCGTATAAATAACTACTAGACGCATTGGAAGGAGACAGAAAGCGCTCGGGTAGCGGAGACAGAAAGCGCTCGGGTAGCGGAGACAGACAAGCTTTACAGAATATGAACAAAGACTAGGGCGATGAACGTAAATATACGATAAACATTTAGGGATAACGGGAAAGGACTACAAACATAAAAATGCCTGCGTTAGAGATAACATGAATTTTACACATGCATGCACATTCGGTCATGATTCGACTTGCAATATCAAGTACGATTTTGCGTCGAAATTTGCTACCTGCTGTTCGTTTTACCGTTTGATTGACCTTGACCGCGGTTGGTTCAAATTCGAGACAAAGTGGAAGATTTCTA